AATAAGAAAAACACACATAATTTTTCTATCTTAGTCTTTTAATGTAAACTTACTTTAATAGTACTAAAAATTTTCNAAACCGTGACATACTCATTCATTTCCTTTGCAAACCAGGAGATTAATGACATAATAATCAATGTTATCCCTAAGTATATACATCCGCTCGACTAAGTCCACTAGATCGTTGTCCCATCGGTATCGAGTGCAATATTCATGAACATCATGAAAGACCTAGTCATAACACAAACTTTTTGGCAGATTTAACTCATTCCCCTTCGTTGACTCATTAACTTCAACATCATTGGTCGCACTCTAGGAAGACCCGTTCGATGTTTGTTTCTTATTTTCAACTTCATTATTTACATTCGTAGTGCTGATGTTGACCAATGGAACACTTCTCTTGGTTGATCTTTGGTTCCCTGAAGATGACTCGAGCAGTGACGACGACACATCATCGACATACCCACCATCCCGATTAGAGGACTCCCTTGAAGGAGAAATGCATACCACAGATGAAAGGTGAAAGGTGAAAATGACAAGTCAACGTCAAGGTTATCTATAGGAAATGAAGTCAAAAAATTGCACCTTTTGGAGTGTTAGATCGAGACACATCCAACGACTGAGGAAATCTGACGTCTCATATTCGATACGAGGCATCACAACTCCTCGAGCTCTAACGATCACTTTTTCAAACTTACTTGGTCAGACATCAACCCTGAGCGATACTACCAAATCGCTTTCGACCAACATTAACTCCATGGCAGTGAGTCCTCCACTTGCTCGAGCTTAGGAGACCTATGTAAAATAAGTACTCGACCGGTCCAACACAAATCAATAATGTCAACTACAACTTCAGAAACTCAGCCTGATCTATCTGAACACTTTAGACATTGAAGAAAACCCATATCACCTCCTGGACAAATTCCTATAAAGGCCGACTGGTCGATGGAATGATCGATCGAACACACAACTAGCATGATTAAATAGGCCTACAAAGATTAATGCAAATTAATATGATAATTGTAATTAAAGGGTGATTGGATAATAATAAGCTAATGATAAGTAAAAGTTCATTACAATTTGTATAAATAGAGAGTTCAAATAGGTACTTAGACACATTGTTATTATATTTAATACTTAGGCGCTCAGACCCTTTCTAACTTAAGCATTAGACTACTTTTTACAAGTCTCATCCATATGGTTTTGGATAAACATGAAACTCAAATTATCGAATGAATTGAAAACACTAACGAACAAATACAAGAAAAAGAAGCAAATAACCGAATTACCTATGCATATTAGATTGTTCCAACATAAACAATATAAATTTAATTATATAATTAAACATTTTCTATTGAAATCCAAAGTTTTAGATAGGATGTAAGTTTCAAATTTAAGTTTTTTATTATATCATACCAACTTGATTTAATAAAAATCTAAATCTTTCTTAAGATGCTTACTAGAGATGCTTCACGACTCAAATTGAGTTTATTTTAGGTCCAAACATTGTTATTTGCCTTTCAAATGGCAACACAATCATTACTTATTTACTCTAATTACAAAACGCAAACAAACACTTTAGCTAATTGTCTGAACTTTTTTATCTTTTGGATCTTTTATAAAGTTTTATTGGTCCAATCACATAATTAATCTCCATATTAAAGTTATGGAAAATGTTTTACTCCAAAGAATAATTTTTTTAACAGTATATGTGGAGGCTGAATGTAACTAACAAATACTTTATAATTTCAAGATTAGTTTTAAATTAAGCAAAATATACTCTATCATGCTCAAATTTATAGATATCGTTACAATATTGTCCATTTATTCAATAATTTTTCATTACAATTTATCCCCACATTCACGTTTTAATGAATTAAAAAAGAAAAATGCTTATAAACTATTACTGTCAATTCTTAAATTGGGTATTTTTTTTTTGAAAATACTAAAATACTCGACTTAACAGATGAGAATAAAAAAATGATTTAAATTCAATTTTGTTAAAACATACGATTGTTAGATGAATAATCGAAATACCCTTTTTTTCTCAATTTTTTTACATGTTTTTTAAAAATAAAACTTTGACGAATACATTAAACTCTGAACGAATCATACTTCAAAAATAGTCATGGCTTTAAATATCTGATCTTTAACATAATTTATTTAAAAACATTTACTCATTTGATAATAAGAAAAACACACATAATTTTTCTATCTTAGTCTTTTAATGTAAACTTACTTTAATAGTACTAAAAATTTTCTAAAAACTTCATAGGTAAATAGTTATTTCAGTATAATAAATATTGATATATTTTGTTTTTATATTAATGAAAAAAATATAATTATAATAATAAATTTGATCACATTAATTTCGATTGAACTTATTTTGACGTAATTAAACAAATATCTAATTTATAGTAATTGTCGTATTTAGTTACATACTAAGTTTAATTGTTTAATAAATACATGATAATTACTAAATATCAAAGAATTGTCTTAATTATTAAATTCAACCAAAATTAATTTTTGTTACTAATAATATAATTTTTTTCTTATTATACTAAAGGTATATTTGTTTATGTTTAATATTGAAGTAAATTGATTATCTATTCAAAACCAAAATTATCTATAAACACTCTTCTTTCTTAACTACTAAGCCATCTTTTAAAAAAATAAAAGTGTGACTAAAATATTAAACTTCAAAACAAACAATACTTAAGATATTATACTACTGAAATGAAATTAAAAAAAAAAATTTTACCAGAGAATCAATTATTAAAGATTTAGTTTAATTAGAAAGTAAAGAATGGTCGTGCCAACTAGTTTAGTGAAGTTAGACAGCTATGTTATGTTTGATTTGTTTCCTTTTAGCTAGAAAAACCATCTTATTAAGCTGTAATAATAGTGCCACATTTTGTTTTTCTTTTCTGCCATTATTCCCATGCTTCTCACAAGTTACGTGCAAGCACTTATTAATAATTGATGTTGACCACTTCAAAAGAAAAAGAAAAAGAAAAGAAAAGTAACAGTAATGTGGTTGGAGACAGAAAAATTGCGTTGGAAAAATGTGGAATTATTAGATTCGAAGAGTGTTTTGTTTGAGTTCCCACTTGTTTCGCCGTTTGTTGTTGGCTTTATTATAAACTATCAACACAATTTTCCCTACGTGCCCTGCATCATCATCATCATCATCAAAATCTTACTTTTCCTTTCAACAAAAATAATAATAAACAAAGTATTCTTATCATATTCAATACTTTTACATCGTTTATGAATCAAAAGATTTGATTGTTTAATTTTATTTTTCTTCTCTTTCTAGTATTTAAGATGTCTTTTAAGATAATAATGTGATAGAACTTCTAATTTCGAACTGGACAAAATTTTTAATAATATTATTTGATAAACTTTATATCAGAAACTTAATGTCTGTCAACAAAATCTCCATGAAATAAGTTGAAGAACAAGTTGAGGAACAAGTTGGAGAACTATATTGAAAGTTATATGAAGAGTTGACAAACAACGAAGAAAAGAAAAGAAAAGAATGAGAAACTATTTTTCAGGTTTTTATTTTTTTGGCTTTTAGAATATCCTTTTTATATAATTTTAAAATTTTATATTAATTATCAATCGGAACAATTTTCAAAGTATATTTTTGTTTTCTACTTTGCTTATTTTTTTAAAGCTAAAAATTGTCCACGAAACTTTGTAATTAAAAATTGTGATTTCTGATTTTGCTAATATGATTTCAGAAGAATTATGTAAACCTCAATTACGGGATTTACTTTATGCACCCACAAGTTTTTTGTGCACTTCCCAAATTTTCAAAATGACCTTTTTATCTTTCGAAAGTGACTATTGTGTGTTAGGAAAACTTTCTCAAACAAGTTTTTTGAAATTTCTGGAATAAAAATTTTGAAATAAAATTTTAGAAGTGATATTTTTTCAGAAAATTATTTTTGAAATAAATTTTTTGAAATAAATTTTTTGAAATGTGTTTTGAATAAACTTTCCCAAATATATACAATGCATTTTGGAATGCGTTTCCCAAAACATGTTTATATGAAATATATTCTAGAACACAGAAAAATCATTACTGGGAGAGCTTTTTAAATAGGTTTTTTTCTTCTTTTTTGGACTGTTATCTATCTCTTCTTCCTGTAGATAATGCTTGAATCTTTTTCTATTATTGTGAGGTTGCAGTTAGTAATTGTGGGAGTGTAAGAAAGAAACAATGCTATGGGTTACTTTTGAATTCAGCCCAGAGAGGGAGAAGAGGATATTTTTCCTGGGTTTGAATAAAAAACATGCTATCTTGTTTCTATTTCTACTAAAGAAGCAAGAGAAGATTTTGACTAAATTGCCCCTCCATTAATTTACAATGAGATAAAAAGAACTAATTATAATTTTCCGGTTAATTACAATGAATCGCTTGATTTTTAAAGTAAAATATTTTGAAGGTTCAAGTCAACTACACTTAAAAATCTAAGCAAGAGTTTTAGAAATAATGATAAAACTTAATGTTAGGTATCTTTTCTTGTCAGAATTTTAAATAAATAAAAATGATATTTTAACACATATAAATTTTTTATATTTATTTTATACTATTGTTTCTTACTTTTTATTTTTTTTAAAATTCAAAAATTTATTTTTTATAATCATTTTATATTTATATTATATATCAAATAAATATAAACTTATATTACTTCCATATGAGGTCATTGAGTAGAAGTCCAAAACTCTGTGCATAACTAGTTAATTAAACTAAAAAAATTAGTCTTAAACATTTTCCAAGCAAAAGTGTTACTAGAAAAGAGGATTAAATTAAATAATTCATTCACAAGAGGTTAGATTGTTATTTTTTACACTAACTATTTTAAAAAATATATTAGTAATATTTGATAAAAATGTCCAACTAATAAGTTTTGTATATATTTTCTTTGAAAAGGATACTAATTAATTAACATTAACATTTCATTTAATAATTAATTAAAAAAAGTAGAGGTTTAACCCAATGCTGTTGGGTTTTTTTTCCCTGTTTTGTCATTACAGAGTACAGTCACGCACTGCACTGGTTTGGTGAACCTCAACCATGTCTATGGCGGTTTCAGTTTCATCTTCCGAGCAAAGTGATTGGGGCCAAAGGGTATCGGAAAAGGTTCTTTCTTTCTACGCTTCTCTTCCCAAAAAGGGCAAACCTCAAGGCCGTGAAATCACTGTTCTGGCTGCTTTCCTTCTCTCTTCTCCTTCTAATGGTTCTCTTCTTCCTCTTTCCATTATAACAATCACCCACTAACCAAGTTTCCATTTTTTTTTTAATTTCTCAATAATAGAAGAAAAAAAAAGCCTTCTTTCGAGTCAAGGAGTTCACTAGTTCATTGTTTTTTCTCCCAAGACTTAAGGGTTGTTGCAATTGGAACGGGAACAAAGTGCATTGGGCGTTCTCTCTTGCGAACTTGTGGTGATGTTGTTCATGATTCGCATGCTGAAGTCATTGCTAGAAGAGCTTTGATGAGGTTTCATTGCTATCCTTTTGAAACTGCTTTGTCGTTTTTTTAAGAACCTTTTTGTTTTCTTTTGTACCATAAGTATGCAGCACTTTATATCCATTGATGTGTCAGTTTTTAATACCGATACTGAAGGTTTGTTTTCGTGTCATGATTGAAGTACATTTTACTTAAATTTTTGTAAAATTGTAATGCAGGGTACTACCACTCTGTGATGAATTATATGGTCAAAACATCTATACGATTCCTTAGGTTGTTTATAATGTTCTCTAATTAGAATTGAAGTTTTATCTCGAATTTTTGCGTAATAAAGGTGTGCAGAATTATGTGGATTGTTGTGATGAACCTCCGATTGTTATTGGAGAGTATGCAAACAATACAATGAAAATGTATATAACTTTTGTCCTTAATATAATGTCTTGCTATGTAAGGAGATGTTATTTCATTTGTTTCTATTCACACCAGGTTCTTCTATACACAGATTCAACATCTTACTGAAACCAGTGGTAACCACGGACCTACCAATGGAGGCAAACGGTTTAAATTTGATGATGGTAACTTGCCATTTGAGTTGGATACAGGGTGTCTTAATAAAGGGAAATATACTTTGAGGAAGGATTGGAAATTACATATGTACATATCACAGTTACCATGTAATTTATCTTTCTCTCGTTTTCACTCTATCTGATCATCAATGTTCCTCCTTTATTTATGACTGTATGTTGTTTAGGTTCAAGGGTAATTGCCAGTTGTGTTTCATTTGTAGGTGGAGATGCTTCACTCAGTTCGGTTGTCTCTCCTTTGGAAACTGTTCTTTTAGGAGAAAGAGATTCAGCTTCACCTTTGGGTAAGCTAGTCGATTCCATGGTTAAGTTTTACAACATTTAACATTTTATGTGAAAATTATGAAGTGTCTAAGGACTAGAGGAGCCTTAAAGACAGATGAGACTAAGAAAAGTTTAAAACATCTAAGAGCTTTTTAATAGAAATTATATTTGCTGAACTCTCTTTCCTTCTATACTTCAATTATTGATTTATGATCATTTTTTATCAAATTGTGATTTTTATATTTCATGGATAATTGAAATATTGCTGCTGTTTATTTTGGTCTGNCAAAATCTCCATGAAATAAGTTGAAGAACAAGTTGAGGAACAAGTTGGAGAACTATATTGAAAGTTATATGAAGAGTTGACAAACAACGAAGAAAAAAAAAGAAAAGAATGAGAAACTATTTTTCAGGTTTTTATTTTTTTGGCTTTTAGAATATCCTTTTTATATAATTTTAAAATTTTATATTAATTATCAATCGGAACAATTTTCAAAGTATATTTTTGTTTTCTACTTTGCTTATTTTTTTAAAGCTAAAAATTGTCCACGAAACTTTGTAATTAAAAATTGTGATTTCTGATTTTGCTAATATGATTTCAGAAGAATTATGTAAACCTCAATTACGGGATTTACTTTATGCACCCACAAGTTTTTTGTGCACTTCCCAAATTTTCAAAATGACCTTTTTATCTTTCGAAAGTGACTATTGTGTGTTAGGAAAACTTTCTCAAACAAGTTTTTTGAAATTTCTGGAATAAAAATTTTGAAATAAAATTTTAGAAGTGATATTTTTTCAGAAAATTATTTTTGAAATAAATTTTTTGAAATAAATTTTTTGAAATGTGTTTTGAATAAACTTTCCCAAATATATACAATGCATTTTGGAATGCGTTTCCCAAAACATGTTTATATGAAATATATTCTAGAACACAGAAAAATCATTACTGGGAGAGCTTTTTAAATAGGTTTTTTTCTTCTTTTTTGGACTGTTATCTATCTCTTCTTCCTGTAGATAATGCTTGAATCTTTTTCTATTATTGTGAGGTTGCAGTTAGTAATTGTGGGAGTGTAAGAAAGAAACAATGCTATGGGTTACTTTTGAATTCAGCCCAGAGAGGGAGAAGAGGATATTTTTCCTGGGTTTGAATAAAAAACATGCTATCTTGTTTCTATTTCTACTAAAGAAGCAAGAGAAGATTTTGACTAAATTGCCCCTCCATTAATTTACAATGAGATAAAAAGAACTAATTATAATTTTCCGGTTAATTACAATGAATCGCTTGATTTTTAAAGTAAAATATTTTGAAGGTTCAAGTCAACTACACTTAAAAATCTAAGCAAGAGTTTTAGAAATAATGATAAAACTTAATGTTAGGTATCTTTTCTTGTCAGAATTTTAAATAAATAAAAATGATATTTTAACACATATAAATTTTTTATATTTATTTTATACTATTGTTTCTTACTTTTTATTTTTTTTAAAATTCAAAAATTTATTTTTTATAATCATTTTATATTTATATTATATATCAAATAAATATAAACTTATATTACTTCCATATGAGGTCATTGAGTAGAAGTCCAAAACTCTGTGCATAACTAGTTAATTAAACTAAAAAAATTAGTCTTAAACATTTTCCAAGCAAAAGTGTTACTAGAAAAGAGGATTAAATTAAATAATTCATTCACAAGAGGTTAGATTGTTATTTTTTACACTAACTATTTTAAAAAATATATTAGTAATATTTGATAAAAATGTCCAACTAATAAGTTTTGTATATATTTTCTTTGAAAAGGATACTAATTAATTAACATTAACATTTCATTTAATAATTAATTAAAAAAAGTAGAGGTTTAACCCAATGCTGTTGGGTTTTTTTTCCCTGTTTTGTCATTACAGAGTACAGTCACGCACTGCACTGGTTTGGTGAACCTCAACCATGTCTATGGCGGTTTCAGTTTCATCTTCCGAGCAAAGTGATTGGGGCCAAAGGGTATCGGAAAAGGTTCTTTCTTTCTACGCTTCTCTTCCCAAAAAGGGCAAACCTCAAGGCCGTGAAATCACTGTTCTGGCTGCTTTCCTTCTCTCTTCTCCTTCTAATGGTTCTCTTCTTCCTCTTTCCATTATAACAATCACCCACTAACCAAGTTTCCATTTTTTTTTTAATTTCTCAATAATAGAAGAAAAAAAAAGCCTTCTTTCGAGTCAAGGAGTTCACTAGTTCATTGTTTTTTCTCCCAAGACTTAAGGGTTGTTGCAATTGGAACGGGAACAAAGTGCATTGGGCGTTCTCTCTTGCGAACTTGTGGTGATGTTGTTCATGATTCGCATGCTGAAGTCATTGCTAGAAGAGCTTTGATGAGGTTTCATTGCTATCCTTTTGAAACTGCTTTGTCGTTTTTTTAAGAACCTTTTTGTTTTCTTTTGTACCATAAGTATGCAGCACTTTATATCCATTGATGTGTCAGTTTTTAATACCGATACTGAAGGTTTGTTTTCGTGTCATGATTGAAGTACATTTTACTTAAATTTTTGTAAAATTGTAATGCAGGGTACTACCACTCTGTGATGAATTATATGGTCAAAACATCTATACGATTCCTTAGGTTGTTTATAATGTTCTCTAATTAGAATTGAAGTTTTATCTCGAATTTTTGCGTAATAAAGGTGTGCAGAATTATGTGGATTGTTGTGATGAACCTCCGATTGTTATTGGAGAGTATGCAAACAATACAATGAAAATGTATATAACTTTTGTCCTTAATATAATGTCTTGCTATGTAAGGAGATGTTATTTCATTTGTTTCTATTCACACCAGGTTCTTCTATACACAGATTCAACATCTTACTGAAACCAGTGGTAACCACGGACCTACCAATGGAGGCAAACGGTTTAAATTTGATGATGGTAACTTGCCATTTGAGTTGGATACAGGGTGTCTTAATAAAGGGAAATATACTTTGAGGAAGGATTGGAAATTACATATGTACATATCACAGTTACCATGTAATTTATCTTTCTCTCGTTTTCACTCTATCTGATCATCAATGTTCCTCCTTTATTTATGACTGTATGTTGTTTAGGTTCAAGGGTAATTGCCAGTTGTGTTTCATTTGTAGGTGGAGATGCTTCACTCAGTTCGGTTGTCTCTCCTTTGGAAACTGTTCTTTTAGGAGAAAGAGATTCAGCTTCACCTTTGGGTAAGCTAGTCGATTCCATGGTTAAGTTTTACAACATTTAACATTTTATGTGAAAATTATGAAGTGTCTAAGGACTAGAGGAGCCTTAAAGACAGATGAGACTAAGAAAAGTTTAAAACATCTAAGAGCTTTTTAATAGAAATTATATTTGCTGAACTCTCTTTCCTTCTATACTTCAATTATTGATTTATGATCATTTTTTATCAAATTGTGATTTTTATATTTCATGGATAATTGAAATATTGCTGCTGTTTATTTTGGTCTGACTGCTGAGAGAAATACTTTTCTCATCAATTCCAGACAACGGTTTAAGCCAACCCGGGATGGTCCAGAGGAAGCCGGGTCGTGGTGATACAACGCTGTCAGTTAGTTGCTCTGACAAGATAGCCCGTTGGAATGTTGTTGGTGTTCAAGGTTATATATGCTTAAACCATGGATGTTTACATGTTGGTAGTTCTTGCTTGAAAATTAATTGTGATGTGATATTTACGTACCCCTGTTCTACAACAATTTAATACAGCAAACGAAACATCATGGAGATTGACATTTTTATTGTTTGTATACTTGTAAATATTCTGCATCAACTATACTTTACTGTATGATTTTGACACTTGTTTTATATNTTTGTTACTAATAATATAATTTTTTTCTTATTATACTAAAGGTATATTTGTTTATGTTTAATATTGAAGTAAATTGATTATCTATTCAAAACCAAAATTATCTATAAACACTCTTCTTTCTTAACTACTAAGCCATCTTTTAAAAAAATAAAAGTGTGACTAAAATATTAAACTTCAAAACAAACAATACTTAAGATATTATACTACTGAAATGAAATTAAAAAAAAAAATTTTACCAGAGAATCAATTATTAAAGATTTAGTTTAATTAGAAAGTAAAGAATGGTCGTGCCAACTAGTTTAGTGAAGTTAGACAGCTATGTTATGTTTGATTTGTTTCCTTTTAGCTAGAAAAACCATCTTATTAAGCTGTAATAATAGTGCCACATTTTGTTTTTCTTTTCTGCCATTATTCCCATGCTTCTCACAAGTTACGTGCAAGCACTTATTAATAATTGATGTTGACCACTTCAAAAGAAAAAGAAAAAGAAAAGAAAAGTAACAGTAATGTGGTTGGAGACAGAAAAATTGCGTTGGAAAAATGTGGAATTATTAGATTCGAAGAGTGTTTTGTTTGAGTTCCCACTTGTTTCGCCGTTTGTTGTTGGCTTTATTATAAACTATCAACACAATTTTCCCTACGTGCCCTGCATCATCATCATCATCATCAAAATCTTACTTTTCCTTTCAACAAAAATAATAATAAACAAAGTATTCTTATCATATTCAATACTTTTACATCGTTTATGAATCAAAAGATTTGATTGTTTAATTTTATTTTTCTTCTCTTTCTAGTATTTAAGATGTCTTTTAAGATAATAATGTGATAGAACTTCTAATTTCGAACTGGACAAAATTTTTAATAATATTATTTGATAAACTTTATATCAGAAACTTAATGTCTGTCAACAAAATCTCCATGAAATAAGTTGAAGAACAAGTTGAGGAACAAGTTGGAGAACTATATTGAAAGTTATATGAAGAGTTGACAAACAACGAAGAAAAGAAAAGAAAAGAATGAGAAACTATTTTTCAGGTTTTTATTTTTTTGGCTTTTAGAATATCCTTTTTATATAATTTTAAAATTTTATATTAATTATCAATCGGAACAATTTTCAAAGTATATTTTTGTTTTCTACTTTGCTTATTTTTTTAAAGCTAAAAATTGTCCACGAAACTTTGTAATTAAAAATTGTGATTTCTGATTTTGCTAATATGATTTCAGAAGAATTATGTAAACCTCAATTACGGGATTTACTTTATGCACCCACAAGTTTTTTGTGCACTTCCCAAATTTTCAAAATGACCTTTTTATCTTTCGAAAGTGACTATTGTGTGTTAGGAAAACTTTCTCAAACAAGTTTTTTGAAATTTCTGGAATAAAAATTTTGAAATAAAATTTTAGAAGTGATATTTTTTCAGAAAATTATTTTTGAAATAAATTTTTTGAAATAAATTTTTTGAAATGTGTTTTGAATAAACTTTCCCAAATATATACAATGCATTTTGGAATGCGTTTCCCAAAACATGTTTATATGAAATATATTCTAGAACACAGAAAAATCATTACTGGGAGAGCTTTTTAAATAGGTTTTTTTCTTCTTTTTTGGACTGTTATCTATCTCTTCTTCCTGTAGATAATGCTTGAATCTTTTTCTATTATTGTGAGGTTGCAGTTAGTAATTGTGGGAGTGTAAGAAAGAAACAATGCTATGGGTTACTTTTGAATTCAGCCCAGAGAGGGAGAAGAGGATATTTTTCCTGGGTTTGAATAAAAAACATGCTATCTTGTTTCTATTTCTACTAAAGAAGCAAGAGAAGATTTTGACTAAATTGCCCCTCCATTAATTTACAATGAGATAAAAAGAACTAATTATAATTTTCCGGTTAATTACAATGAATCGCTTGATTTTTAAAGTAAAATATTTTGAAGGTTCAAGTCAACTACACTTAAAAATCTAAGCAAGAGTTTTAGAAATAATGATAAAACTTAATGTTAGGTATCTTTTCTTGTCAGAATTTTAAATAAATAAAAATGATATTTTAACACATATAAATTTTTTATATTTATTTTATACTATTGTTTCTTACTTTTTATTTTTTTTAAAATTCAAAAATTTATTTTTTATAATCATTTTATATTTATATTATATATCAAATAAATATAAACTTATATTACTTCCATATGAGGTCATTGAGTAGAAGTCCAAAACTCTGTGCATAACTAGTTAATTAAACTAAAAAAATTAGTCTTAAACATTTTCCAAGCAAAAGTGTTACTAGAAAAGAGGATTAAATTAAATAATTCATTCACAAGAGGTTAGATTGTTATTTTTTACACTAACTATTTTAAAAAATATATTAGTAATATTTGATAAAAATGTCCAACTAATAAGTTTTGTATATATTTTCTTTGAAAAGGATACTAATTAATTAACATTAACATTTCATTTAATAATTAATTAAAAAAAGTAGAGGTTTAACCCAATGCTGTTGGGTTTTTTTTCCCTGTTTTGTCATTACAGAGTACAGTCACGCACTGCACTGGTTTGGTGAACCTCAACCATGTCTATGGCGGTTTCAGTTTCATCTTCCGAGCAAAGTGATTGGGGCCAAAGGGTATCGGAAAAGGTTCTTTCTTTCTACGCTTCTCTTCCCAAAAAGGGCAAACCTCAAGGCCGTGAAATCACTGTTCTGGCTGCTTTCCTTCTCTCTTCTCCTTCTAATGGTTCTCTTCTTCCTCTTTCCATTATAACAATCACCCACTAACCAAGTTTCCATTTTTTTTTTAATTTCTCAATAATAGAAGAAAAAAAAAGCCTTCTTTCGAGTCAAGGAGTTCACTAGTTCATTGTTTTTTCTCCCAAGACTTAAGGGTTGTTGCAATTGGAACGGGAACAAAGTGCATTGGGCGTTCTCTCTTGCGAACTTGTGGTGATGTTGTTCATGATTCGCATGCTGAAGTCATTGCTAGAAGAGCTTTGATGAGGTTTCATTGCTATCCTTTTGAAACTGCTTTGTCGTTTTTTTAAGAACCTTTTTGTTTTCTTTTGTACCATAAGTATGCAGCACTTTATATCCATTGATGTGTCAGTTTTTAATACCGATACTGAAGGTTTGTTTTCGTGTCATGATTGAAGTACATTTTACTTAAATTTTTGTAAAATTGTAATGCAGGGTACTACCACTCTGTGATGAATTATATGGTCAAAACATCTATACGATTCCTTAGGTTGTTTATAATGTTCTCTAATTAGAATTGAAGTTTTATCTCGAATTTTTGCGTAATAAAGGTGTGCAGAATTATGTGGATTGTTGTGATGAACCTCCGATTGTTATTGGAGAGTATGCAAACAATACAATGAAAATGTATATAACTTTTGTCCTTAATATAATGTCTTGCTATGTAAGGAGATGTTATTTCATTTGTTTCTATTCACACCAGGTTCTTCTATACACAGATTCAACATCTTACTGAAACCAGTGGTAACCACGGACCTACCAATGGAGGCAAACGGTTTAAATTTGATGATGGTAACTTGCCATTTGAGTTGGATACAGGGTGTCTTAATAAAGGGAAATATACTTTGAGGAAGGATTGGAAATTACATATGTACATATCACAGTTACCATGTAATTTATCTTTCTCTCGTTTTCACTCTATCTGATCATCAATGTTCCTCCTTTATTTATGACTGTATGTTGTTTAGGTTCAAGGGTAATTGCCAGTTGTGTTTCATTTGTAGGTGGAGATGCTTCACTCAGTTCGGTTGTCTCTCCTTTGGAAACTGTTCTTTTAGGAGAAAGAGATTCAGCTTCACCTTTGGGTAAGCTAGTCGATTCCATGGTTAAGTTTTACAACATTTAACATTTTATGTGAAAATTATGAAGTGTCTAAGGACTAGAGGAGCCTTAAAGACAGATGAGACTAAGAAAAGTTTAAAACATCTAAGAGCTTTTTAATAGAAATTATATTTGCTGAACTCTCTTTCCTTCTATACTTCAATTATTGATTTATGATCATTTTTTATCAAATTGTGATTTTTATATTTCATGGATAATTGAAATATTGCTGCTGTTTATTTTGGTCTGACTGCTGAGAGAAATACTTTTCTCATCAATTCCAGACAACGGTTTAAGCCAACCCGGGATGGTCCAGAGGAAGCCGGGTCGTGGTGATACAACGCTGTCAGTTAGTTGCTCTGACAAGATAGCCCGTTGGAATGTTGTTGGTGTTCAAGGTTATATATGCTTAAACCATGGATGTTTACATGTTGGTAGTTCTTGCTTGAAAATTAATTGTGATGTGATATTTACGTACCCCTGTTCTACAACAATTTAATACAGCAAACGAAACATCATGGAGATTGACATTTTTATTGTTTGTATACTTGTAAATATTCTGCATCAACTATACTTTACTGTATGATTTTGACACTTGTTTTATATTAATTGTTTGTTTTCTTATAAATCTTGTAATTATATTGCTCGTGCCTAGGAATTTGATTATAACCACAATACTAAGGTTTCATGTATGTCAACTTAGTCAATTTTGCAAACATAAAAGTTAGAGTTTCTGGTTAGTGTGATAGTGTTAGATATGTGGATATGACATGAATTATGTTGGAGTCAAGCGCGAGTTGGAGTCTCACATAGGGTAAAAATATGCATGAACAATAACATATAAGAAGAAAAGACTCACAAACCTGTGTCATGATTCCTTATATGGGTTTGCTCATGAACTGATATGTCTCAAATTTCAAGAAAACAACAAATTAGAATAGTGTGGTTTGATTGTATTTCAATCAAGTTAGTTAAGTGTTGTGACATTGTTACTCTTAGTGCAGGAGCTTTGCTTTCCTACTTTATTCAACCTGTATATCTTTCTTCAATCACTGTTGGTCTTCCCATTAACAGTCCCGGGAATTTTTATTTGGAGGATAACATGAAAAGAGCCTTGTATGAACGGATCCTGCCCTTATCGAGTAAACTGAAGGCACCATTTCTGGTGAACCAGGTCTGTGGAATATTTGGTATCTTAGTGAGAAAGAAAAGTTCACTGTTGGATGCTGACTTTTATGTCTTTTTTCATTTCATAGCCGATATTTCACGCTGCACCAGTACCACCAAAGGACTTTCAGCAATCTGAGAGTGCAGCCGACACTTTAACATGCGGGTACACGCCAAATGTTGGAGAATTGTAAAGTTAATGCAGCTTTATGGAAAAATGTTGCATTTAGTTGAATGATTAACTTTGCAGATATTCTATATGCTGGAATGAATGTGGGTTGCACGAAGTCATACTGGGAACCACTGGAAGAAAGCAAGGCACCTCTGCAAAAGGGGCACTCTACCCATCCACGCAGTCATCTTTGTGCAAGTGAGTGCCACTGACATGTCTGTGGTAGAAATCTTTGTGAAGCACTGATAATATTACAATTACTGCTACCTCCAAACCTATATAAACAAGTAACTAATTTATCAAGATCAATAAAAATAGTTAAGTTAATTAATTTTAACAAAAGATCAGAGGTGGTAATAAATTTATTATTTTCCAGACAGAGGCTGCTAGAGGTTTTCTTGCCACTGAGAAGGGAAAAATTGAGCAGTTCTCTGGTCAATGGGATTACCTACCGAGAACTTAAGGTATTCTTGATGTTCTTCACATTCTCTTTTTCATTTTGATGGTGTAAATTGTCTTGTTTGATCGGCATTATGAAGTTTATGTGAGAAGAATAAGAAGCAGATTTGGATTCACTTGGCCTGAATTATTTCTATTTTTAGTAATAGTAACTGTGTCTTGTTTTGCATGGTAGGGTGACACATTTTTACATTCATTTGACACACACTGGAAAGGTAAAATGTTCATAAAGAAGTGAACTTTTGTATGTGTTAAGAAAGGATAATGTCAAATGAATGTAAAATATCTGCATGTGTAAAAGTATCATTTCTCTTAATCATTTGCAGGATGGAGCTGAAGAATATAATCTGGCTTCCAAAATTTTCAAAGGGAAGCCACCTTTTAACAGGTGGTTCTTGAAACCCTTAGATTGTGAGGCATTCCCCGTTTCAGAATAATAGAGTCCTTCTTTGGTTTTGTCATCCAACTTCTGTAATCTGAGAATGTAGCTCAATTGGACATGGTTGCACATTCCAAGAGACAGAGGGGTAGAATAGTAGAATAGAAGCTTCATAAATCAAAAAATGGGGTGGGAAGATGAAAAGTGGAGGGGGTGTTTAGAAAATCATTGTCCAATGTAGGAGACTGATATCTCACTATTGGGCTTGCTGTGAAGCCTGTAATTTGGGCCAACAAGGAGTTGATTATCTATTTCTTTCATTATTGCTAAATGAATCCGTATCATTACTATCGGAAACTCTTGGGGCTATTTCTTTTATAGCACTTCCATACCTTCTCTCTGCATCTTCATAGGTGTAGAAAAAGTTTAAATTTTACATGGACTGTAAACATTTTTTAATGCATAATTTGGAAATTTATTTTGAATTGTATAATTCTAAACTCATAAATGTGTTTTAGATTGTATAATCCAGAAATGTATTATGGATTGAATAAATCAGAATGTAGTTTTGAATTTGAAAATATATTTTGGATTATATAATTTGAGATGGTTTTGGATTGTGAACTGAATGCTTTTTAAAGTGTGCAATATGAAGTATATTTTTGGATTGTGCGATTTGAAAATCTATTTTAGATTATGTAATATGAATTTCTAGTTATGTATTTTGTTAGGAATGACAAATGAACCGTTGTTCTGGGTATGTTTAAATTTGTTTCGATTTTGATGAGAAATTTTTGTTCTTGTATTCATACCATCTCTATTTTCATATTCTTCTCTATCTTAAATTTACTAAAATATTTTTAATTTATTTGATTACCTAAAAAGTTTATATTAATTTTTATTTGATCTTTAGTTTTGTAATTTATTCATAAAATATATAATTGATTATTTTAATTTTTTTATACTTCTTTGACTTTTATGTAATTATTACTTGATATTTATGTAATGTATTTAGCATTGGTTAATAAATATGGATCTTTTTTATATTGAATATTATTATGTTTTTCTTTTGTTGATGTTCTTTTAAGAAAAGTTTAATTGATATTTGGAAGAGTAAAGGAGCATTTGGGCATATTTGTGAGACAAAAATTTCATTAGGTATGATGATGAAGATAAGAACGCATTTTTAATTTGGAAATGAGGGTGGAGAAGTGAAATTTGCATTCATATGATCTCGTTGCAATTCTTATGTTCTAAATTATATAACGTGAAACTATATTATATCACTTTCTTGAAACTATATACATATCCTCTAACTTCCTATTAGATTATGCAATTTTGAAATATGAGAATGTATTTTGAATTGTGTAATTTTAAATATATCTTTTGTTTACATAATCTCAAAAGTATATGTGAATCAATAAATACATTTTACATTGTGTATTCCAAAATATTTTCTTAAGACTTAATTAACTTTGATATGTTTAGTTGAGCTCTAATTAGATTTTTTATTGTTAATGGAGTATTAAAAAATCATATATTTTCAATTAAGTTCATATTGTTTAATTTTTCTATTAACTGGATTATGAGAATATTATTTTGTACTATCACCTTGTTTAGTTGTTGCCACATGTTTCTTTATAATTTTATAATTTTAGAACTTCATAATTTGATAATTTAACTATCATTTATGTCACAATTTTCATAAGTGACTTCAACTATTATAATTTCATCCTTCTTTTACAACCCAATATCAATAAAGTCTCAACCTCAACCATAGTCTTTTCACTGCAAAAATTCTCAACCACCTATGTTGGAAACAAAACTAGTAAAAATGTTTTCAAAAATATCAAGGACTTCTACAACCATGAGATAAATCGGACATGAACAATGTAATTCTCTTTAACATCTAAAACCTTCAAAACAATGTCGTATTCTCCACTTTATGACACAAAAAACCCTCTCAAGGAGTTAACTACCAGTTTCATGCTTTGTAGGTGTGCGTTGCAGAATATGAAGGTGGAGACAAAATTAGAAAGTGGGTTCTACAAAAGTGAAAAACACTTTTTGGCATGGTTCTAAAAGCTAGAGGGTGAATTTTGGAGAGTTTTTAAAAATCCAAGTGTGAGTCTAAGTCTCCCATTAGATAGAAATGAGAAAGTAGGACACTGTATAAAAATAAAAAACTCATTAGCTCATTGCTTTAAGGTGTTAGGTAGAGAATGATGTTAATCCCTTGTATGGTTGGGTTCAGATCTCATTGGTATTGTGTCTCCCGGTGAACCTCCTCCTTGTTAAACCTAATAGTGGTATCTCGAAAGTTTTCCTGGCAAAGGATATAACAACGGTTAGAAAGCCATTAACTCATTGCCTTAATGTTTTGGATAGAGAGTGATGTTAATATCTTATATAGTTGGACTCAGATCTCATTGATGTTTGTGTCTCTCTGGTGAACCTTCTTCTCGATAGATCCAACTGTGAAAGTGTTATCCTTTATGCAAAGGTGCAAGAGTTAACAATAGTCAAAGATATGGTTTTATAAATATAGTTGGAATCAAATTAGATATGTTACAAATTTTGCAACTCAATTTCGATTCATCTCTTTCTCCCAATCTCTTTG